TCTTGTTTTACTTTATTTTTTGTGATGCTAGGGATGAAATCCAGGGCCTTGTGTATGCTAAGCAAGTGCACTACCAGTGAGCTACACCCCCAGGCCCATAAACTGATGTATTCAAAGGACAATTTGGCTGAGTACAAAACGTGCAGGCCACATTTTATTTTGCTAAGGGTCCTGAAAATATTGCTCCATTTCCTTTTGGGCTAAATATGGCTACAAGAAAAATTAAAATAGCCTCCTGTTTTACTCTTTTGTGGTTATCTTATTTCTTTCTCCCTGGATGCTTTACTAAGATTCAATTACTTAATAATTCTGTATCTTCTTCCTAGAGGACAGGAATGTTTTTTGGATCCATAAGACAGTTATCAATCTCAGTAAATGTAATATCGGCAATACTTTATTATGCATATTCCAGTTTTGTCCATTGACCCAATAATATTCTTTATAGCATTTTCTCTGTAATGTAGGATTTCCTAGAAGTTGTCAAGTGTCATGTTCTTTAGTTCTCTTTAATATAAATCTTTTCCTCAGCATTTGTCTCTTATGACACTGACATCATAAAATGAATACCAATCATTTGCTTTTTAAAAATAGAATTATTCTTTACATCCAGGTGTATATTCCCAGCCAGAATACAATATGTTTTTCTGTGTCCTTCTCAGAATTTCACATCCATCTGATGTCTCTCTGACTCTCATTTGTAGTGTTAATTTAAATCCCCTAGTTGAGCTGTAATCCAATTTTATTTAGTTACTAATATTCTACAATTTTAACATTCGTCTTTTTTCTCTGTTCTAACTATATAGCCTCAAGATTTTCTCTGCCATTAATCTGATGTTGTGCTTTGTATTTACTCTTTGTACTGTTTCTAATTAATGTATTCAAACTCTAACAGTATTATTCTGATCTTCAATTTGTTTGCTTACCTCAGACATCTCCCTTTTAGACACATTCGTTGTTTTGGCATTCCACCTTAGGTTTTTCTGTCTGACTTTTATTTTCTTGATTTCAATGCTGGCAGTGGTCTGGACCTGTTATGGTTGGGACCCAAAATGTCCTCCAAAAGGTTCATTTTGTTGAAAACTTCATTATTCGTGGACTTCTGGGAAGTGATTGGATCATGAGTGTGCTAATGTGGTCAATGGACCAATCCACTGAGAGATCATACTTTGATGGCATTATTGAGTAGTGATAGAAACAGGAGGTGGGGCTTAGCTGAGCAGACTGGATCATGTTGGCATGACTTTGGAGATTATACCTGGTGCCTACCCCCTTCCTCTTGGGCTCTTTACCCCACCCTCTCTCTCTCTCTCTTTGCTGGCTGCCATGAACTGAGCAGCCCCTTCCACCTCTTGCTCCCAGCACCATGATGGTTCTGTCTCAGGACAGACCTGAAAGCAATGGAGCCAGCTGACCATACGCTGAAACCGTGAGCCAAAATAAACCTTTTCTCCCCAAGTTGTTTTTGTCAGCATTTTGTCACAGTGCTCAAAAGCTAATATAGGACCTTTTGTTATTTTTGACATGATGTAGATGAATTCTGGATCCTCTTTTACCTAAAATTTATTTATCCTTTTCCTGCAGCTTGAATTTGAGGTCTCAATAAGGTTCTACAAACTTTTCTCTACCCTCATGTTATGATCACAGGGGTAGAAGTAGAGTTCAACTGGAGTTGTGTGTTGCCTTCTTTGGGAACATGGACTCTCTTTACAAAATTCCTTCCATGTCCTACACCAGGAGTTCAGATCTCATATTTACAGAAATATCCTATCCCTAAAATCATTCTCTTTTAGGCTTGTAATTTATGCTTCAATTTTATATTAATCCATAGTAAATAGTGTATTCAGGATTTAGTTTTTCTGTCTGATGAAATAATCAGGGCTTTTCCTTGATATTTCCTGGGGTTGCTTATTTTCCACATTAATTTACTGCGCTCTAAATTGAGAGTTAACGTTGAGACGATGATTTCTTGTCAACGCACTGTTTTCTTTCCCAGTGTGACTTCACGTGACCAGAGGTGGAGGGGAGTGTGAAGAGAGCTGAGAGCACCGGCACAGCGGTAAATGTTTAACAATGGGCTCTCAAAAATTAAAAAAAAATACCTGTAGTGCCTAAGACATGCCAATACATATTTTCAACGTATCCAACTTTAAGCTGCCAATGTGACATTTGTCACTAAATGCGGAATTGGAACCTGCAGCATTATATATTATACCTCACCGTTAGATAGTATTTCCTTCATATGGTTATAGTCGATGTAAATAATCTCAAGAGCATATGTAATATGAACGTGAAGTGAAACATTAGACGATGATTATGAGAATTTACTACCTTTGTTTTAATTATAACTTATTTCATTATAAATTTATGTAAATTAATTTTTAATAATTGCTGTATTTATCATTTGCCCTGAAAGATCACCTGACAATTGGACTGTTGATTTTTAAAACCATTGTCAACCAGCTCCAGCACACCACTGAGCTAAAAGAGTCCAAATTATCTATTCCCTCCTCTATTTTTTATTTTCATATTTAAAAATATTTTCAGCACAAGGTCATACTTCTTTTCTTCTATGGATGGAATTGGTAAAATTTTCCTATTTTTAAATTCCCTACTGATTGTATTAAAGAAAAGAAATTCTGTGATTGGCTTCACCCTGCCATTTTTATCTCAAGATATTATCTTTATTCTCTTTAAAAGTTTCTGTGGGTCTTTTTAGTTTCTATGTAGTGTTTAAAACTGAGAAAAAGGAACTATTATCTAAGACAAAAATCATTAAGTCTTTCTCTTGGTACAAACACTAGCTAGAGATGGAAATGCAGTAAGTTAAGCACTTTAGTTGGGGAAAATTAACTGAGAAGCTATGTGAAGTATTTGAATAGGTGACAGTCGGTGGTAGCTGGGCATGGTTGCACACTCCTATAATCGCAGGGGAAGCTGAGGTGGGGGGATCATTGCAAGTTCGAGATCAGCCTGAGCTACAAAGTGAGCTCAAGGCCAGCCTGAACTGCATAGCGAGATTCTGTTTCAAAAAGACAAAAAAAAAAAAAAAAATAGTCAATGGTAGTGGTGGAGATAATTCTTGAAGAAAGGAAGAATATTTTTCTACCACACAGCAATAGGTATCCTCATCTACATTACTTTGAAAAGAAACTTTGAAGTGGTAAAATGTACCTCAGTGTACCCAAAGACATCTGAGCTGGAATATATATAATTCCATTTTAGAAGATTAAGTGTGTTTTTAGAATTATTTATCAAATGATTATTGACTCAATCAAATCATAGATTCTCATGAATATTTCCCATAATTCAGCTGTTCTCAGCCCTGTTTGGCTCTTAAAATCACCTGGGGAGCTTTTAAAAACACTGATGCCAGGATCCCACTCCCAAAAAATTCTGATTGTATTGGCCTAGGGTGAACGCCTCTCATAAGGTAACATTTAGCATTTTATTAATATTTCAGAGAATCTATTAAAGTAAATACACTCACCTCCTAAGATGGTAAAAGCAAGAAAATTTATAAGGTTCCCAGAAATGTTTAAAGAATAACAAGATAGTCACAATGCTATTAAGGTCTTTTTTGGATGAGTCTCCAAATGTTTTATAATTAAAAGAAAACTGTGCAATGACTTATGGAACAAAAAGTAAATATAGTCATATTTTGAAGCTACATACTACAAAATAGCATGTTCTTAGTTTTTCATTTGGAACTTTAAAATTGTCCGTGATCAAGACATCAGCATATCCAGCTGTCAGGCTGAGTAAGCTTTCCACGATAAAATCCCCTGGATGTGCTATAGTTAGCGTGGGAGTCAAAATTTATCCTTTAAGAGCAACTATTTCTCAGGAACACAAATTAAAATCATAAATAAGATTATAAAGATAGATCTCTAAAATATTTGAACAGAGATACTTCCCCTAAGGGCTTGATTACAAGGGAATTAATAGGCTTATTAGTTGCTATAATTAGCTACTCGTTGCAAAGGATCGCTGAAGATCTTTTCAAATTGATTTAATTATTAAATGTATTTAAATAATATATATTTTCTATATTCATCAGGACTACTTTGGTTGCCAGTAAATCCAGTTAAACTAATGTTAAGGATTGAAAAGAAATTTATTGGTTCAAATAATTGAAAAGTTCAGAGACAAACCAGGCAAGGCTAGATTTAGGGGCTCAAACAATATTATCAGAAATTGCTGTTGTTCTTTCCATCAGTTGCTGTCTCCCCTCTAAGTAAACTCCATGCTTGGGTGCAGCTTATCACTTTGTAATAGCAAGATGGCTGGCAATGGCTCTAGGTTTTTTTCACACAACTGTTCAGCAACCTCAGTATTTCTCTATCTCGAGAGCTCCAGCAAAATTCATGAGAATTGGCCCAGACTGGCCTGGCTTTGGTCTTGTGGCCTTCGTTACACCAATCCCCACAGCCACTGAGGTACAGTAGTCTGATTGGCCAGCCTTTTACAAGCCATCTCAGGAAGTATGGTGGGGCCAACCGCACTCGAATTGCATGACTGGGAGTAGAGGAGAGGGTGGTTACCCCAGGAAAGGTTGATAGCAGATTTGGGAATGGATGCTGACAAGGAGAAGCAGGTCCACCACAATTTAAGATAATATTTCAAATTGAATCTTTCTACTTCTTCGTCCTCCAACTTTCCATTTAATCATAACCAGGGATTCTTTATAACATCTTAGAGATTATTTTACTTTTCAAAATTTAAACATATTATCCTATTTCCCTTTGGTATTATGAATAAACATCTCCTGATAAGAGATGGATACTTAAGTAGTAAAGGCTGAAGGGACTGGCCTATATGAGGCCATTAGTAAAATTTGATGTATTATTTGCCTAAACCAGAGGTAAAATGTATTTCATATGAAAAACATAAGTTTTTAAAGAACAGATTAAGGACACGGAAGGGTGAGAAGAGGAAGAGGAAATAAAAATGATTAAGATGTAACATGTATATGCACCAGTCCCCAAGATGAATGTAATTGCTTTGTATCACAAACATACACTGATAAAAAAGAAACTAAAACAAAATAAAGAATAGAATAACACGGCTGAAGACACTGCTTTTCATACACTCTTTAGCCACAGAGTCAAAAAGCATTATGGCCAAGTTTCCCTTGAACCCAAAGCAGATGTCTTCAGATTATTTTCAAACTAGAAGGAGGAACCCCCTAAATGGATGAGGGTAGAACACATACTACCTCAGAAACACCATCAGCTTCCAGAGTTCTGAGGTGGGCTGTTGCACACAAGTCACCGGTATTAAAAGAGTTCATGGTTTGTATTTTGTTAGTCCCAGTCGTCATGGCAACCAAAGGGCTCTACATAAAGCCTGAAGCCAGCAGACGTGTAATGGAATACATTCCTCGGAGTGAGTCAAAGCCCTGTTGAAAAGGAAGCGATCACACTGTTATGGAAATAAATTATAAACTCCTATGAACTGCTCAGGATTGAAATAAGCAACGTTTTTGGAATTACATTTCTCCCTCCTCCCACATATTTCTGATGATAAATAACTCCGCGGTGCTTTATTTCTGATGCGACTGCCTGTCACACTTTTGAGGAGTATGGCAGCACACAGCCTGCATGCCCACCTCACAACGTTTCAGTGAGGATCAAAGTGAGAACGTGTTGAGGAAACTGTTAAAAATATAATGGCGGCACTAAAGGGCTAATGCTGTTCATTAAGTGTCTTTAACATCCAGAAATGGAAGTTCCACGTCTGATTTTAACACACCCCTCAGCCATTAGAGACTACTTCCTATGACACACATACTAATATTTTGCTCAGTCTAAATACCCAAGTGATTAAATTGCAGCTATTCCCCTGGACACTTTACTGCACCTCAGAGCCAGAAAGTTTGTGCCAGTAGAATATAGTGTTTAATAGCTTGCACTTTTGAGACAGACAGACATGGATTCAAACCCCCCTGTGCTGCTGTGTGGCTGTGGGAACCTGGGCTTGTTATTTAAAAGCTTTGCATTTCAGATCTTCATTTACAAAATAGATGTAATTGTATCTACTTAAAGCTGTGAGGAAAATTCAATACAATAATGTTAAAAGTATCTAGCAACCTCTGACATATATTAAGAGGTAAATAAATGTTAGGTATTATTGTCGTTAGCTTTATTCCCTTTGGGGCATGACCATCTTTACTTTCTTTTTTTTTTTTTTTTTGGTTTTTCTCCGGTACCGGGAACCGAACTCACGACCTTGCGCTTGCCAGGCAGGCGCTTTTGCCGCTGAGCTAAATCCCCAGCCCCCATCTTTACTTTCTTGCCAATCCTTATTTCTACTATATTAAATTTTTTTTCTTCTTGATTTACTCTCTTGCTTTCAAACACTACTTTAATACTTTCTGCTATCTTAAACCCAAACTTTTTCTAATGTCTTACGGATTAGAAGAAACCATTGATCGGTTTGGTCTCAAAACGTAGATCCCACAACAAAGATTGCTAACATTCTGGGTTCCAAATTGTCCAGTGTTACTACTGTGCTAGCATTGTTGGAGTACTGACCTGTTCCTATGAGACCTTGATGACTTTGGAATGAGAATATTCTTAAATCTATTTAAGAGAGAATCTATTTCTGGCAAGCAAGATAGTAGGGGTCAGCGGTGATAGCCAGACACCTCCCAACTCCCTCACCTGGCAGGGAGCTGGGCTTACATGGTCCATAAAAGCCAAGTTGCACAATTTTGGCAGCAAGTTTTGTCCACTATTTCTCCATTACTTGGACAATCTGGTTAAATTCCTTCAGCTCAGGCCTATCTCAGCTCTTCATTTTAGCATTGTCAGTCTGAGTAGACCAGTTTCTGCTTCTAGGAATACTCCTTTAGAGAGGAGTGGACATTTCATCTCATTCTCAAATGCGCTTTCAAACACCTGAATTAGTGAAGCCCTTGAGCAGGTTCTTCTAATAGACTCAGCAGAATAGTGTTTGAAGCTGCAGTTTTGCATATGATCAGTTTTTCCCTTGGGAATTGGAAAAGTCAGTACTGTATTTCCCTCTTCCTGGCCACATTTGCTTTTTACCATCTTCTTGGAGGCTAACTTTAAAATAATTTCTACATCTTCATCCTGCCAGAGATTTCATGTATTCTTTTCCAGCATCTTCATTAATTTTAATATCAGGCTGATTTTTCTTTCTTTTAAAAAGTTTTTAGAGTCTTTTACAGTTCTTGATTCCTCCTGAAGCTACTTCTCCAGCACAGAGTAAGACTTAACAAAAGGGATTTTTACAAGCATGCCATGTTCCTTAGCAACAACCATGATAAGTAATACAATCTCTTGGTCTCGTCTTTCACCACAAAACCTCAATAGTTGGAGCGTGGGGGAGGGGGTTGCAGTAGTTAATTCCCAGAACAGACTTTTTCCTGCTTACTCAAAGACACCTTGAGGACCTCACGTTCAAGCCAGCACTATTTTGGGCAGAAAGAAGAGAGAACATTTAATACCTTTGTGCCTGGTAAAATCCTTCCAAATAGCACTAGATTTTCTTTGCAGCTGCTAAGATGTTGACTATACTACTGTTACCTTGATCCCTACTCTGAACCTAAGACTACTGACTTTTAGGCTGGGTATCTCTTTAGACAGAATCATGTGATCTGCAAGGAAAATGCTTTTGATTGAAGAGGTAATTTTTTAAAAAAAGACTCCATGTACTCCAAAATTACTTTATTCTATCCGACCAACTAGCCTGCTTTCTAATATGAAAATCATCAATTACATACTACAATAAACTTGCCATTTTTAAAATGCCTCAAACTCTAAGGCAATAACATTTAGTGAGTGATTTGTGTGATATGGGTAAACTAGAGGTACCTAACTTAATTGGAGTGTGGTTTTTACTTTTTTGCTCCCGGGAATCAAACTCACAACCTCACACTTGTCAAGCAGGCACTGTGCTGCTGACCTATGCCCTTGGCCCTGGAGTGTGGTTTTTAAATTGTAAAGTTAGGAACATTATTTAACACCCATTTCCTCACTAATTGAGCTGTAATTTCACGCAGAGAAGAGTTTCTGAGCACTACGGGCATTTGGGACAGATAATTCTTTGTTGAGGGACAGAGTAGAGGCTGTCCTTTGCGTTGTGGGATGTTTAGCAGCATCCCTGGTCCTGACCCACTAGATGCCAGAATTTTCATTCCAGATCCGGCAGCCAAACCTGTCCCCAGATGTTGCCAAATGTCCCCTGGGGGACACAACCACCCCTGGTTGAGATGCACTGGTATCTTCCCCTTGCTTGCTTTTCTGGACTATAAAAATCTTAGAGGTCAGTGAAAGAATAGTGACATGCTAGGTCCTGGAATGTATTATTTTGATTCTTTTATTATAAAATCTTTTACTTTTCTCACTTGAAATTTTTAGAAAAATAATTAAATTTCCAAATATAGTTAATGATATATAAACATTGGTCCCTGGCAGTCTCACCTCTCTGGTAATGGGTCAATAAGTACAGGACTTTTCATGAGATTTTCCGAGGGTTTACAAGGCCCCTCTCTGGCCTAGTTCACTGAGGGCCAGGGTAAAACTACTCATTAGCAAAATGACTAATCCACAGACCTATTAGTTGAAATAGTCAGAGAGGGAAAAAGAAGCATAATGTTTCCTGTTTTCTCCTTTAAAGGATAACTCGAGTAGTCTAATGAGTGGCCAAATCCAAGTTGGTTTTACAAATTGGCAAGTTTGGTCTTTGCTATCTAGTACTTGCTTCTGCAATAATCAGTATTTCCACAGACCCTGAAGGAAAAGGAAAATGGTGGTGTCCCAAGAGTTTTCTGCTTTAATAACTACTTGTATTCCCCATTCTCACCTTTCCTTCTTCTTCTCTTGCTTCTTCCCGGCTTGGCCTTTCTTGTAATTCTGAAGAGGAACCTAGGAAGAAGGATCTAAGGCAGTAAAGTGACTGAACTGGACCTGGAGAGCTTTGGACCAACACAGATTAGCCAGCCGTCCCACCCACCCCCTACCCAACACCCACCACCAGGAGCGCTGCTGGACACAAATGGTATAGTCAGTTAGGGTTCATTGAAGAGTTTAAGGAAATCTCAAAGGAGAATAACAACAGGGACCAGTATTAGCCCTAAGCTTAGAGGGGCAAAGAGAAGAAAGACAACCAGAACCTACAAGGGTAGCCATGAAGTCAGCCATCTTCTGTGAGTTGTTCCTTACACCACAAAGCAAGCTATGTTGACCTAGCAACAAGGGGACTTAGAGAATAAATATCCCAACTTCACTCTCTCCTGTCCTCCAAATTCCTGCTGCTACCTCATACTGGCCAAACCCAACCAGGAGAGGGAGAGCAAGGCAGCCTAGCTGTGCGATCTATACAGGGAAACCTCTCTGGGCACGGAGTAAAGTAGAACAGGGTGGAGAATAGATCTGGGAATCAAATGGAAGGTGTCCAGCCCACAGTGCAATCCTGGAGAACACCTGAAGTCCTCAGAGTAAGGAAGAGTGTCATTGGAAGCTGGAGAGAGAAGGGAAGGACAAGTGAAAAGGATTAAGACCCAATGTGTATACGTACAAATTCCCACAATGAACGTGTTTATTAGGTATCATGAACTTATACTAATAAAAAAGAAAGACAAGAAAGAAACAAAAAGAAAAATTCTCCCCTGGTGATTCCCCTATGGCCTTTGAGTTAGAGACCAGCTGTCTTAAAGCATGGTATACTTTCTTCAAGGCTCTCAAGTGCCCTCCAAAGGGTTTCATCACTGAACCCAGCCAGAAATAGACCCACCATTCCATTCTGGGCCTTCTAGTACCATGCCATTTTGGTTTGCACACAAGTCCACAGGAGAATCATTTGCCCATCTGTTTTCTCCTAACTTTGGTATTTTCAGTCACTTCAATTCCATGTAATAACTTTGTATAAAGCACTTTTTCCAGTTTAGATCTGATTCACACATACCATATATTTCACATCACAGAAAAGTCATGAGTATTCCAAGAGTATTTCCAAGGCAAGCTTTAGGGAACAAGTTTTTCATAGTGACAAGTGGGCTGAGTGACATTGCAAGTTAGACTGCGTAGAAATCAAGCAAAGATTAACCACATTGACTGCTCTATCTTGGTGTAAACTTCTGGGTTTTTTGGTGTTTGTTTTTTTTTTTTTTAATTTTTTTTTTTTTTTTTTTGTATTTTGGTTAGGGGAGTTCCTTTACCATTTTTCTGAAAAGCACATGAAGTTTCACTGCCTTCTAGAAGAGATAATATCTTTTTGTTGTTGTTGTTGTTGTTGTCTTTTTGAGGCAGGGTCTTGCTATGCGGTTCAGGCTGGCCTTGAGCTCACTTTGTAGCCCAGGCTGGTCTTGAACTCGCAAAGATCCTCCTGCCTCAGCCTCTTGGGTGCTGGGATCACAGGTGTGTGCCGCCACTCCTGGCCAGAAGAGATAATATCTTGAATTAGTAGCACTATGAAAATGGGAAGCCCTGGAGAACAGAGGAATTCCATCTTTTCACTTCAAACCCTTAAGTCTGAAGTGTATATCTCAAGAGTATATCTCAAAGTATGCGTGCCCTTCAGAAATGTCAATGGCAGTATAGTTTCTGGTTGTCTCCTAAAAAAGGTATGTAGGGTATGATTTATAAGCTGATTTAAATATAACAAACTCACAACACTGTTGAATAGTAAAACAAGTAAATATTACAAAAAAATGGATATGGGAAACTAATATTTGTATCATCAAAACACAATAGAGAAGAGCAATTAGGGAACTTGATGACTCTCCAGCTTACATTTAAATTTACGTTTAAATTTAAAAAGGCACTTAGTTTGTGATGGTTATGTCTAAAGAAGTCATTAGTGTCTTTTAATAAGTATTTAATAAGCATATTTGAATTTCACAACTATTATATATAAAGCAAGAAGCCAAGTTTAACCAACTTCAATTACTTTAACTTTAAATAATTTCAAATTAACAATTAGCTTTTAAGGGGCTGGGGATTTAGCTCAGTGGCAAAGCGCCTGCCTGGCAAGCGCAAGGTCGTGAGTTCGGTTCCCGGTACCGGAGAAAAACCAAAAACTAAAAAAAAAAAAAAAAAAAAAATTAGCTTTTAAAATTGAAGTGTGAACAGAGATAATTCCTGCATATTGTAACTGTTTCTATCTGTACTGATGAGTATTACATTTACATGTATGTGTATGTTTGATACACACAAACACAGATATAACGATGTGGCTTTTGTTTTTGTTTGAAAAAAATAAAATAATATTCTGAAATTATTTCAAGAAAAGACTAAAATTTATTGCTTCACCTGATATTGACACAAAATCTGCTAACCCATGTGCTTCTCGGAATTTGCTATGCATTTCCAATTTGTGGCAGGGTGGGCTTGAAGAACCAAAGCCATCTAGCTGTACGATCAATTTTACTTGTAGGTAGAGCAGTGATTTATTATTTCAACAAATACTAACTGAGCTCACAGAGAGAGCCAGGCCTGTATAGCATAAAACTGACAGATATTCCAGTCATCACAGGGGAAGAGATAGACAACAAGTAAACAAAAAATTGGTGAAAAATCCAGCAAAGAGAAAGGATAGAAGTGGCTGAATGGGTGGCTATCTTAATAGTATGGTCAGAAAACTTCTCACTGAGGAGGTGATATTTGAGCAAATATTAACATTCAATTGGAAAGCAAGCCCTGAGTATCTGGAGAGTGTTTCTAGCAAAGGGAATGGCAAGTGCAAAGGCCCTGAGGTGAAAATAATCTTGATGCAAAAAAAAAAAAAAAAAAAAAACCAGCAAGAAGGCTAATGTGCCTGGTCTGAAATAAGCAAAACATGGGAACAGAGGCAGAGTTTAGATCATGCCAGGCTTTATAGACACAGGAGGGTTTCATTCTAAGTGAGTGGAAAATATAGTGGAGGATTTTAAGCAGAGAGTAATGTGGGGATGAATACTATAGAAAGTCTAAGCAAAAATGATGAAGGTTTTCTGCAAGGGGAAATTGGAAGCATAAAAGAGAAGACTTGCACGTCCTGAAGTATCTTCCCCACTGCTGAGGGGAACAGTCAACACAATATTAGTTGCAGTCACCATGCTGTATGTTAGAGGTCCAGTATTCATCCTGCATAACTAAAATTGTGCACCCTTGGACTGACATTTTCCGATTTCCTTCACCACCCCTACTCCCTGGGAGCTACCATTCTACTCTTTGTATTTATAAATTTGACTTTTTTAGTTCTGCATATTAGTGAGATTATGCAGTATTTTATATTTCTGTGCCTGGCTTATTTCACACAGCAAATGCCAATGTTTATTTCTTTTTTAAGGCTGAATAATTTGTGTGTGTGTTTGTGTGTGTGTGTGTGTGTGTGTTTGTGTTTGACTAATTCACATTTTCTTCACCCATTTATCCACTGATGGACACTCAGGTTATTTCTGCATCTTGGCTTCTGTGAATAATGCTGCAATGAACAGGGGAGAGCAGGTATCTTATTGAGATTCTGGTTTCATGTCCTTCAGATATGTACCCAGAAGTGAGATTGCTGGATAATGCGAAAGTTCTGTTTTTACTTTTCAAGGAATTTTTAAGATTTTTTGTAGAATGGCCGTACCCATTTACCAACAGTGTACAAGGGCTCCCTTTTCTGTACATGCTCCCCACCATTTATCTTTTGTCTTTTTGATAATAGCCATTCTAACAGGTGTGAGGTGATATATCTCATTGTGGTTATGATTTGCATTTTCCTGTTGATGAGTGGTGATGAGCAACTTTTCATACAGCTGAGGTCCATTAGCAGGACTTCACTGGAGAAATGTCTATTCATGTCCTTTGCTCATTTTTCACTCAGGTTTCTTTAGTTTTGACTATTGAGTTATTTGTGTTCCTTACATATTTTGGATAATAAACCCTTACTAGATATACGGTTTGTAAATATTTTCTCCCATTCTGTCACTGTCTCTTTACTCTGATTATTGTATCCATTTTCTGTGCAGAAGTTTTTAGTGTGATGCAATCCCACTTGTCTATTTTTTTGTTACCTGTGCATTTGAGGTCATATCCAAAAAAATCATTGGCCAAACTAATGTTAAGAGATTTTCCGGTTTAGTAGTTTTACAGTTTCAAGTCTTGTGTTTATGTCTTTAATCCATTTTGAGTTCATTTTTGTATATGGTGTGAGATAAGAATCCAATTTCATTCTTCAGCATGTGGATACCCAGTTTTCCCAAGACCGTTTGTTTTTTTTCTTTTCCTTTTGAGACAGGGTTTTGCTATGCAGTTCAAGCTGGACTTGAACTCACTTTGTGGCCCAGGCTGGCCTCAAATTTACAGCAATCCTCCTGCCTCAACCTCCCGAGTGCTAGGATTACAGGCATGTGCCACCATGCCCAGCTCCCAAGACCATTTGTTGAAGAGATTATCCTTTCCCCAGTCTTGGCACCCTTGTCAATGATCAGTTGACTGTACATGGTTTCTTTGGGGGTCTCTGTTCTGTTCTGTTGGTCTATATGTCTGTCTTTATGTCAATACCATATTGTTTTGATTACTGTAGCTTTGTGAACTATTTTGAAATCAGGAAATGTGATGCATCCACTTTTTTTTTTTTTTTTTTTTTTTGAGATAAGGTCTCACTGTGTAGTGCAGGCTGGCCTTGAACTTGCTTATGTAGCCCAGGCTGGCTTCAAACTCATAGTGATTCTCCTGCCTCGGCCTCCCAAGTGCTGTGATTACAGGCACGTGACACCACACCCAGCTCACTTTTATTTTTCTTGTGAAAGATTGCTTTAGCTCTTCTGAGACTTTTGTGGTTCCATATGAATTTTAGGTTTGATATTTCTATTTTTATGAAAATTACATTAAAATTTTGATATGGATTGCCTGAATATGTAGATTACTTTGGGTAATATGGACATTTTAATAACAACATTAGTTTTTCCAGTCCATGAACTCAAAATATCTTTGTTTATTTGTATCTTTTTCAATTCTTTTCATTACTGTTTTATGGTTTTGAGCATACTTATCTTTCACTTCCTTGGTTAAATTTATTCCTAAGTAATTTATTTTTTGATGCTATCATACATGGGGTTGCTTTTGCTTAATGTCTTTTTCACATAGTTTCTTGTTAGCATATAAAAATGTGACTGGTTTTGGTATATTGATTTTTGTATCCTGCACCTTTACTGAGTTCATTAATTATAACAGTTATAACAGGTTCTGTGAGCCTCTTGTTTGTTCCCCTTAAGGCAATACACTGAACTGTTCTGGTGTAAGTTCCTTTTCCTAATCCTGCAGAGTCCAGCTGTCTGTGTGTCCTCACACACAGCCTGCAGACGTGAGACATCTCTGAGAGTTCATGTATGCTGCTGGCTGGGGGAGGGGTTACATAGTGTTAGGGGTGCATGTGAATCAGTTGGGGAGGTTCACAGGTGGTATTTCCTATGAGGTTCATAGTTGTGCCTCTTAGAGAAGAATTTGTGATGTAGTTAACAGAAAGTACTGCATCCATTTGTTGAATTCTGTGCTCTAGTTATTATGAGCCCCTGCCTTTCTCCTGATGTTAAATGCGTCCAGATTATTCAACTGTACCAATCCCGTCAGTGAGTTGGGTGGGGCAAGAAAGAAGAAAGCAGTTGGTCTCTTAGGCAGCACCCCACATGGTTGGGGAAGCTAGGCACTCATTAGACCTCCGCTGTCCCCTGTGGGAAAAATCACAGCCAAGAGGTGGGTAGGTCTCTCTTGGTACTGAGCTGTGCCACTATGGGAAAGAGATGATATCGTATGGGTAAAATGAAGCCTTTCTTCTTACCCTTTGCAATATGTGTATTTTCATTTATTTGTTCCACTAGAGTGCTGGGAGCTTCTACTTGACTCCTAACCTCCCACAAAGGTACATTTATCCATAGATGATTGTCAAAGTCAATGTTTCTGCGAGGAGATAAAGACAGAAAACTCCTATTCTACTGTCTTAATGATGTTCCTCTCAAAATCTGAATTAATTTTAATAGTGAAGTGTAATATGCAGTAGTGTACATTTTATGTTCTCCCTCTCTGAACTGATCTGTGATAAATTGTAATTATGTGAACTTATGCAATGCCCCAGTAATGAAAAGAGGCATAGCATAAATTCCTCTATGAAAGCTATGCCCGTTCCTGAGGTTGCAAATGGACTTATCTAGACTTCCAGAGGCAAGATGATAGAGTTAGTGATCTTGGTCTTTGGTGACCTTCTCCTCCATCTTGTGTTCTATTTAACCTATCCCTATTTATCTTAATTTCCCAAATTTTGTCTCTCTATTCATGAGCCCTCCCCCCTTATCCACTGTCGGGGTGGCAGAGAGTCAGGCTCAAACATAAAGCAATATAGAAGAATTGACAATATTGACTTACAATGGTCACACACAGAGTCAGTTATGGAGGAGTGCAAAATTTCTGTCTGTGCACTGGAGGGCTGAAGGATCCAGTCAAAGGCCTGGAACCCGCTGCAGTGTCCTGTGTGAGTCCATATGAGGAGGCCAAAGGGTCTGCGATGGAAGACTGAAGGGTCTGTGCTGGAAGCCAGGAGATGATGTCCAAGGTGAAGACTGCAGGTCCTCCAAAGAAAGAGAAGCGAGCCTTCCTTGTTTCCCTTTGATTCCTTTCAGGTGACAAGCCGCCTGAGGTTGGGTCTTCTTCCTCCAGTAAATCCCTTCAGCCACACCCAGAACCATGCTGATCCAGTTTCGTTGGGTGTTCCTTACTCAAGTTGGCACAAACATTTAACTATCACAGCACATAGCACATGCTCCCATGCATTACGGACTCAAATCCAAGGCTTATCCAGGTACATCCGAGTAGCTACAAAGGTTACAGGGAAAGAAAAATTATTATTTTAATCTCTAAAAGTTTAACATTCATGAAAAGTTCCCCATATAAAAGAAGGGTGTTTGAAAGATGCCAAGTGGCCGCAGATGGAAAAAATAGCCACCCCACACACACATACACACACAAATGGGTATCCTCTAACGACTGTTGTGGAGTTACTGCAGGCTGGGCCTGAAAATCTTGCTTTGTGTTTTTCCGGTCACTTCGTCCCAGACGCAGCTGGCCCTTGAGACACTGTGACCTGTTCCCCATGCACTTCAAATCTATGCCAAAATGCCACTTTCACTCAGTGAGGCATTACCACACATCTGCCAGAATGGCCCAAACAAAGGGAAGGCTGACACACCGAGTATTGTCCTGGTGAAGATATGGAAACTCAGGACTCACACACTGTTGGTGGAAGAATAAATACAACTGTTGTAAGCAACTAAGTTAGATAAAATATTATAGGCAGTCAGACAGGAAGCAGCGCAGAAGACGAGATATCTTGCAAATGTGAGAGAGACAAGCACTTCCTGCTGTGGGCCAGATCTCAAGACAAAAGATAAAACAAATGCACCCACATACTTCCTGAGAATAAACATCAGGAGTTGATATTCTAAATAGTTATCAATCACCTTGAGAAAGCCAGGAAGAGTCACTAACCCAACCCCCTACAGGAAAAGCCCCTGTTTTGTATTCATGCCCGCTTGCTACACACTCGATTCCCCATTTGATCTTGATGTAACCAATTTTACTTGAGCAATTACACTCGTAATCTTATTGGTTGACCATAGTTTTGTCTCACCTCATGCCCACCTTATAATTTCTCATTCTGTCCACCTTAGGCCCACCTCAAGTCATGGATTTGCTCTACAAAAATCCCTAGAAAAGGCAGGGTCCTTGGCAACCCATTCAGGACGCCTTCTCTGTCTGCCTGTCTCTCTGTCTCTCTCTCGCTCTCTGTCTTTCTCTCTCTGGGACAGAAGCTTTCTTTCCCCCAATAAATATATTCTGCTCTTAACCTCCATTGTTCCTAAAATTCATTGTTCAATTTTAGAGAACACGAACTCATACCAGATACCTAACAGGTTGGGAGTTTCTTTCCCCTATATCACAACCACTTTGGAAAAGCTGAATTTATGTGTATCCCATGTCAGAGCAATACTACTCTTGATATATAACTAATGATGATGACATTTTATGGCTACCAGAAAACATATACAAAAGTATTAATGGCATTATTATTCACAATAGCCCAAAAAGTACAAACAACACAAAGTTCTGTCCATAAAAGTGATCCTTGCATGGTGGCACACAGGTACATTACTAATCTGGGAGACTAAGGCAGGGGGATCATAAGTTCAAGCCCAGCCTGGATGACTTTGTGAGACTCTGCCTCAAAGTAAAAATTAATAAAAAGAGCTGGGGATGTATCTCAATGCAAAGGCCTTGGGTTCAATTCCCAGTACCAAAAGCCAAAACCAAAAGAAAAAAGATAAATAAAAGGGACAGACAAATATTGTGATATACACAAAATGAAATACTATACCACAATCAAGAAAATAATTGAACTACCCCTATGCATAATAATATGGATGAATCTAACCAATAGTGTTGAGAAAAAGAAGTCATGCAAAAAAGTATACCCTGTATCATTCCATCTATGAAGTGTGATCAAAATATGTGATGAATATTTAGATTTTAAATATTTATTATGGTAAAAGATACATTGCTACTAATCTCCTTCAAATACGTCCTTTCTTCAGACACATTCACTGTTGGGGACCAGGGGGTATGAAATAATGTTTTGCTATGCCAGGAACCAGGCTGTGTGACTGGGGTCCCATGGTTTCAAGGCTGGTGTGACATTGCTTCAGGAACAGACAAGTATGCAGAAGGCAGCATGCTTCCTGGCTGCTCAGAGAAAAGAGAAAGCTTGAAAGGCAGCATTCCTAAGGCAAGATAACATCTGCTGAGGACAATCTAAAGAATGCAGGCATTTTGATATGGAGGAGGACTTGTCCTCCATTAAATTGTTCCCATTTACTGCAGTTGCTGTTTCATGAAAGGTACATCACCCCTTCCCCTGTGTTCATCGTTTCCTAATAAAAGTGAGTCAACAGCAGAGATTGTTGTGCCTGCCTACTTTAGACGGGTCCTTCCTGGTCCCCTTGTACCTTGAATGTTGTCTCTTGCCTTTAACCCCTCCCATCCTCCCCACAAGTATCCAGGGCTCTGATTAGTCCCCAGGAATTTATCTTATCATTCTTGCCACTTTCTGAAACTGTTCTGGCAGTCCTTTCATGAGTGTGTTTAGTTGTGCTGTTGTGGTTGCCTTAATATCCTGAATCGATTCAAAATGTTACCTTTCATGGTCATTTTGACTTGGAGGAAGAGCCAAAAGTTGCACGGTGTCAGATTCAGTGAATAAGGTGGCTGAGGGTACACCATAATCTTTTTACCAGCCTGCAGAGCATTTACCATATTTTCTATCAGTCTTTGTAATGACACGAAAGAGGATTTCCAGAACTCCTTCAAGAAGTGGCAAAAATGATGGGATACATGCGTTTGAAGCAAGGGGCAGTATTTTTAGGGGGATTCATGGCAATGTGTCTTTTAGTGTAATTTTTCAAAATTTAGACATTCACCATATATCTTGACCACATCTCAAATATGAAATTCAAGAATATATGAACAAGTGTATGGCGGTATATCCAAATAAGAGCTTCTCTTAGCGTGAGGGTGGGAGTCAGTGAGAAAGGGCATGAAGGAGCCTTTTACTGTGATAGAAATATTCATTAAGATCTGTACACTTCACTTTGTGAAAATTATACCTCAATTTTTTGGGAAAAAAAACCTACAGAAATAAAATTACATATCCTTAGAGCTCTAAGAGACCTTTTCAATTAAACAAAAAAAGAATTATCATCTAATGAACACAAAAACTTCTGTAACTCTGAAGAGACTTTGGTGAAGGTTTTAGTTATTGGATGATCTCTTCATCAGGGGTAGACAGATAGATAGATAGATAGAGGTAGAGAGATAGAGACAGAGAGATAGAAATAGAGATAGAGATAGAGATAGAGATAGAGATAGAGATAGAGGTAGAGGTAGAGGTAGAGGTAGAGGTAGAGGTAGAGATAGCTAGAGATGGTCTGCTTTTGCCTTGTACCTTCCTATTCCTTAAGGAATGAAACTTTATGCAATTGAACCCTAGAAAACTAGCCCAACACATATGTGCACTGCTATTCCCAAAGAAAAAGATAACTTATTTGAACCATGGGAGATGCCTAAGGATGTGCATTCATCTTCATTACCAAGATGAAGGATCTGGAGCTCTGAGAGATTCAAATGTCATTTAAACTCAATTCTTCTGACTTCTAACCACGTCCTGTTCTTGTGGTGTTCATAAGCACTGATTTCAATAAAACTAAATGCAGTAAGTGATCTTGGATTGGGTCCTAGGAGGAAAAAATAGCGTAAAGGACATTTTTGAACAACTGACAAAATTTGAATAAAGATTACATAGAGAGAATAATATTGTATCTACCACTGTGAAATTTTTTTACCTTGATACCTTGTTTCATAAGGGAGTAAATATCCTTGTTCATAAGAAATGCATAATAAGATACTCAGAGAGAGGGATCATCATGTTTACAACTTATTTTCAAATGGTTAATTAAAAGTTAGAGAAGAAGAGAGAGAAGGAGGGAAGTAAGGAGAGGCAAAAAATGTCAACCATATGTGAATCCAAGTGAACGGTACCAAGTGTTTGTTGTATTATTCTTCTAACTTTTGTGTAGGTACAAAATTTTTCTGAATGAAAAAGTTAAAAGCCATAACTTTCAGATAACATCAAATTGTGTCTGTGTTATTCACATCACACAAAAAAAGTTATCTTACGCACTGTGTAAGAAAATGACAGATTTCTAATTCCTAACAGATTTATTAACTGTTTCCTTTCATCACCACACTGGCAAAATATTCCTTCTTATGTTTAGTTAGTGTGGTCTAGTGAATTTATTTTTTTTTGGTTTTTTTTGTTTGTTTGTTTGTTTTTCTCCGGTACCGGGACCCGAACTCACAACCTTGTGCTTGCCAGGCAGGCGCTTTTGCTGCTGAGCTAAATCCCCAGCCCCGGTCTAGTGAATTTAATAGAAGGTCTTGCTCTGCTGGGACCAATTGTACATTTTCATACAATGCAATAGAATGTTCTAGTATGAGGCCTTGAGGCAGAGGAAAAGTCTACAGTTTCATGATCTCTGCTGCCTTGTCAGTGTCTCAGGAAGGTGGTAAGACCTTGGAGGGCTTAGCCATGTGGTATCCTCCAACTTTGCCACAGTCTTATGAACCAAACATATTTTGGGAACATCAGAACTGCTGGACTTGAATTGGATTCCTTTTTCTTTTTTGTTTCATTTTGATTTTGTAGTACCAGAGAATAAACCCAAGCCCTCCACACTGAGCTACAGTCCCAGCTGTTTGTATTTCTTATTTTGAGGCAGGTTTTTTTAAGTTGCTAAATTTCCCAGACAGTCTCAACCTTGCAATCTGCCTGCCTTAGCCTCCCAGAGTGCTGGAATTATAGGAATGCACCACCATACCCAGCTCTTGAACCCAATTCTGGAGTCTACCTTTCCAGAGCTGTGCAGCTGTTTTATGGTCCTAGACATGGTCCAGTGCAGGAAAATGGTCTATGACTATAAAACAACTGCACAAGTCTCAGTTGAAGAAATCTCAATAATTGAGCTCAAATTTCCCTCTACCTCTACCATGGTAAGGATTAAATAAATTGAATTAAATAAGAAAACTGTTTAATGTTTGAATTTTTGGACTGAGAGTCATTTCTAGTACATTAAACAATGTGTATCAACGTGAAATGTACGATAAGCCAAGCACTTTACATTGATTTTCTAATTTTGTCCTTACAACTGCATAACTTAGGTAAAATAATCTCCACATTATAAATGGGGATAAGAAACTTGGAGGAG